ATTTTCTTATATTCAGATACACACAAATGCAGCACCTAGTCACCCAGGCACTCCTCAGATCTTAAATTTGTAATGCATATTTTAAAAGTTTTTCCAATTGAGTAAATAATATGGAAACATGAGAATGTGAAGTATACCTTTAGCAAGGAACTGCATTTTATCAATACTCTCAATATACGGCCATGAATGTTTTTCTTCATCTTGTGTGACCATTGCTGCTCACGGAAAGCCCACCGTCTCCTGGAGTCTCAACTGGGGACCCCCTCCTCAGGGGAGGCCCCTGCCTGCCCCCACCTCCATCCCTCACCAGCAAGGTCAGGAGCCCCGTGAGCTCCCATCCTGGGGCAAGAACCTAAGATGACACCAACCTCTGCCTCGCCGGCCAAACGCCGGGCAAGTCCTTGCGCTCCACTTTTCACCCTGCCTCCGCAGACTCGAAGGGCCATGGTGCAGGCGCCCACAGTGCTCGGGGCCTAAGCACCGTGTGTGCCAGAGAAAGGAAGCCCGCGCTCAGTGTCCGCCATGCAGCCGCACTGCATGGCATTTGGGGGTCTCCCTCAGTCTCCCCACCAGAGGTACAATCGTGAGACGAGTCCGTCGTTCACTCTTGAGCCCCCCGGTCAACCCAGGGCCTGGCACATACGTAGGACTCACTGAATGCTTTCTGAAGCATGTGATCACTGGAGTAAATGCAACAAGGCCACTTTCTGCTGCAAAGTCAAAGGGCCTTTGGCAGAGGGACTGTGCCATCCCCAACATCCAGCACCACAGCCCCGTTGGGGGTGGCAGGCGTGTCCCATGAGCCCATACCAAGAAAAGTGAGTAATGGAATAATTTAGCATCTACCTTGGCTCTTTCTTACAATGAGGCAGGATATAAACTTTTATGTATGTATGTATGTATGTATGTATGTATGTATGTATGTATGTATGTATGTATGTATTTCGGCGAGGTAACCCTTGGTTGACCTCACAGATTGCAAGGACCTTGTCAGCTTACAGTCCTTTATTTTTTACTTTTTACGCCTACAGCACCTGGTCTTCCTAGGTGGTCTCCCATCCAAGTACTAACCAGGCCCGACCCTGCTTAGCTTCCGAGATCAGACAGAATCAGGCTTGTTCAGTGCGTCAGGATATAAACTTTTAAATAACTACTTATATTTGTGTAAGAATCAGAACTCTGAAAGCAGTCATTTTTTGACTTCTTAAGTTAACTAACTATGCGGCACTGATCAGAAGGGGAAGCTTATTGTTATGATGATGATGAAAGCCACTATGCTGAGGGCTCAGAGGCAAGACTCAAGGCTGCGTGCACTCGACACACAGGTCACGTCTCTTTCCTCAGCTGCCCTATCTGTCAGAAGGGATAACACCTTCTCCACCACAATATAAAAACTATAGAGTTATGAAAATGATCACAAACAAAATAACCTTGCTGTTTTTAAATGAAATTCATTACATTAATGTAAATATTTAACAAGCCATCGTGCTATGGTTGGTACTGAACTTTCCTCCTTATGAGACAAACCACTTACTCACCCGTTTACTCTATAGATATTTGTTCGAATGTTACAAATCCTATCCTTTAGGCGATATAAAGGCAAACGAGACAGTTTCTGCTTGGAAGAGGATTAAAATCCAGGTGGGAAGAAGCCTCACACTCTGAACCACCAACACAATGAGACCTGAGGGTGCCCGAGTTCCTCTGGGGGTCCGCGGTGGTGCCCACCTGCATCAGCGCCAGCTCATGCTCGGGCCCCTACATTCAGGAGTGAGCATCACCAGCAACTGATAGAGATACAGGAGCCACCCGTGACAAGTTCACCAACTGGCGGAGGACGTGAGTAAAGCACGTGAAGTGCACACGCAGACAAGCAAACAGCACATGACGCTGTCCCATACCAGTCACTTCCCCAGAGCTGCCTGCAGGCTCCTTTGTGGCCCTGAGGCCTGTGCCCGCTCCTGCCTGGGCCACACATGGAATGTGGGTGGGGGACACCAAGTGACAGGGACGCAGAGACAAGAAACACTACTTAATTAATGCTATACGTTTCACTATGTGTCAGCCGATAACCAATGCTTGCCAGAAACTGCGAATAGTGAAGACATTTTAAACTGGTTAAATGGGTTTGTTTCATGATTTACTCCTAATACATGAGACATCATAAAACTAGGCCCGGTCATAATTATGTAAGTCTGTAAAAATGTCCTTGAACTATTTCTGTCCCTTCATATTTTTATATCAAATGAGCCTAAGGTTAGAAGAGTATAAATTATATTACTGACAACAGCTGGGATGACATGAGGGCAGAACTTACACCCACAAGGTACTGACTGACCCCAATTTCTCTCCTTTTTGTATGTGGAAATAGGGGAGAACCGAGGCGTTGGGGCGGAATGTGGGCCCCCACCCCCGCCCCGCAGTGCTGCAGGGCTGCTGATGGAGCCAAGCACCACGAAGGCTCCACCTACGTCACCACTCAGGACCATGGCCGGCGTCCTCCTCTGGACACTGTTAGCAGCCACTGCCAAGTCCGGGCTGGAAGAAGTTGGCCTGATGACCAGTCACCCGAGGAAAACTGCCCCATGTCCTTTCAAACCAGGACTCAAAGCTGCCCGATAAACCAACAGAGAAAAGAGCTTAGTTCTCACACAAAAGGAAGATGGGGAGCACGGGAGCAGTGTTACTTGAGGAGGTGCAGCCTCCGTCCACACGCGCCCTCCTCCGCCCCGTCACTGTCCTGCTCTGCCCCAGCTGAGCACCAACCCTTTGGTTCAAGCTCTCTACCAATAAAGGACTCCAATACGGACTTTCCCTCATCCAAATGGCCATCCCCACACAGCACACACTAGTAGGACACATACTTTCTGTGGGTGACGAACCGCAATCCCACTCAGACCCCACATGGAATCAATCGACAGAAAGCCAGCCCAGGGTCCCTCGTCCCCTCCTGCCTCTCTCCACCGTGCTGGATAACCCCTCCTGTCCAGCACCCCTAGGGCCACAGTGGTCACACATCCTCTGAGTCACTCATTCCTCAAATCCAAAGGAACAAGGGCATGCGGCTTCAAAAAATGCCCACGCCATGGAAGCTGATGCTCTTCATTCTCTTTGGTGTGAGAACAAAGTCAGCCTTCACATGAAGCTGAGCGAGACGTCTATGCCAGGCCAGGAGGGGTGTAAGCACCTCTGACACCACGAGTGAGCTCGCAGTTTACGTTTAACCACCACTGACAAAATGAAAGCCGGTGTGTATCGTCTTTCTGTCACAAGTAAGGAAAACCCCACTACGGGCCATGGAACTTTCTGCATCAGACAAATGTGAGTCCCCCATGCCTGCTTCCTAAACTGAAGTGACCAAGGCCTTGTGGCACCAGGAGACTAGAAACAAAATAAGCAAAGAAAGAACAGTCAGCCGAAGAGGCGCTTCAAACCACAGCCTCCCAGGGTGTGAGCTGGGGTCAGAGAGCCAGAACCCCACCTCTCCTTGTAGGGGACAGAACAAATGCCACCTCCTCGTTTGGGGGACAGGAGCCTCTAACCTTAAATCCAACACAGAGGCTCTTCACTAAAATGGTTAGAAATGAGCCAGCCAGGCACAGAGGGCGAAGGACTTACTAAGACATCCTGTTTGAACGCAATACCCAGCAAAATCAGAAGTTGAAGGAGTTTACAGAAATGTCAACTCATTCAAGTGTGACTCTCTTCTACCTGTGTGATACTCGCACACAAATCCGGTGAGCCGTCTCTTCCTAACCACAAATCAAACCCCATGATAAAGATCAGGGGGAAACCACAGGGAACAAGTTAGAGGTCAAGAACAGATAAAATCACGCCAAAGCACAACCTCTTGACCAGCTTTACGGTAAAGGAAGGAATGGTGAATCTGTGGGCCACTCATCGCCAACCAGTGGACTGCGAATCAGGAGGTCGGTAAAGAAAATGGGTGATCAAGGCCAAGGTGGATGTCGACCTGAAATGGGCTAAGGACACTGCCCAAGTCACCGAATCAAACCCCTCGTCCGAGAGCTGTGGGCCCACAGTCACTGTCGATGCCAGCCAGGGCCCGCCTCCTCACTGCCCCTCCATCTGCCTGCCACATCTGTGCTGCTTAAGAATACTGAAGAAAGATAAGTCATGAGTTTCAAAACAACACAGATTTTTAGCATAAAATGCAAGCTAAAATTTAAAGAAATGGTAAGAAACACTGGTAAATTAACCTAAATACAGTCTACTAAATACTCGAACTGAAAACTACTCCTCCTATAAATCAGATGAATTCAGACTCACCCATTTTTTAAAATTTCACTTGTGTATATAAAATGATCTAGTTCCTTTTTCTCTTTGAATAGATGAATAATCCCATAAACAATTAGTTATTTCATTTCAGGGAAAAGGCTAAAATCATTTTTAAAGTCCCTACCACAAAACACTTATTATTCATCTCTCTGCTTTATAATAAAAGGAGTTTTCAGCTTCAAGCATCTACAACACAGCTTTTATTAAGTAGCATTTATGTGACTAGACAAGAGATTATCAAGGACCACTTGGTCTGAGCTTTTAGAACCCACAGAACACGTGTTCCACAGCAAAGGGAGAAGACACCAGAGTCACTGAAATGTTCTGCCTTTGCCTTCAGGCAGAGGAAAGGCCAAAGAAATGCCCAGTGTCTACCAAAAATGAGGCAAAGCAGTCCTCAGACAAGCAGTTACTTCTAACTACATCCCTTATCACCATCACCAAAATAAACATGCAAGATAATTTCAGCATAATTAGCTTCTGATCCCACCCAAATCAGGCTGAAGCGTTTACAGACATAGGAATGGTTTGTATATCATTAGAATCCGAATATGGAATTTGAATAGAAACAAACACCTTTCATTACAAGTACTCTGAACTTCTCCAGCATAAATCCATAAAAGAACATAAATCCATAAAATTCCTGTCAGTTAATTCTATCCTGCAGGTGGAGAAGGGGCTCGCCACACCCCACAGACAGGCAAACCCCTGGAAGGGTCATTAAATTAGCATCCTCTGAGCGTCGGCGTCAACCGGCACCGCCGTGGGTACTGAAGTCTAGATAAGCGATGCCAGCTTCATGGCTTCAGTCGTGACAACTTCTACTGTGGCTTTTTTGGTTCCTCAGAGAACCTGGGAGTGCTGCTTAGAGCCCAGGCTCAGGGCTGCACGTTGAAGTAATGCACAGTGACCAGGATTCTAATTTGGTGGTGTGCGCAAGAATATCAAACATTTAAGAACTTTAAGTGGGGTACCAGAGTCAGGCTTTTTCAGGAATATCATTTCTGTCTGGCACGGGCCTAGGCCATCTCCCACGACATGTGGGACAAGAGGAAGATGGCAACTGAGCCAGACTGCCAGGCTCCGCACAGGGGACAGGTGGAGTCCAGCTGGTCAAAGGTGTGGAGACATGAGCACGTAAGGGCTCACACCAAGGTTTTAGAAGGGTTTGGAGCGTCTCGTGTACACGCCTGGGCAGCTGGACCAACAGGAGCACTCTAGACACATCAGGACACCTCTGGTCAATCCAAACTGTGGGAATGAGCGACAGGCAAAGGGAGGGCGGCATGGGGAGCAGTGTGGGTTCACAGAGTCTGTCCCTAAAGTGCTGTGCGTGTGGGGAGGACCTGGTTTGACCGTTGTGTCACCTGAGGGCCTGATGGAGCCGGAGCCACAGGGCCACATCTTCCCTGCTCAGCCACCAGGGGGCAGACGCCCTGTGCTGTGGACTGAATGTGTGTGTCTCCCAGATTCATGGGATGACACTGTAACCCCCACGTCGTGGTGTCAGGAGGTAGGGCCTCTGGGAGGTGATGAGGCTGTGAGGGTGCAGCCCTCGCGATGGAATTACTGTCCTTGTAAAGAGACCCAGAGAGCCCCTTCGCCCCTTCGCCCCTTCCAGGTGAGGATGCAGGAGAAGATGACCCTGCTGGCGCCTTGACCTCCGACGTCCAGCCTCCAGGCCATGAGATGTGAATGTCTGTTGGTTAAGGCCAGTCTAGGGCACCCTGTTACAGAAGCCTGAGCTGGCCCTCTGTGTAGGAAGGCCCCCAGCAACCCGCCTGGCCACGGTAGTCCACGCCCAGAACCCTAGCTGACGACAGGACTTCTCCCGGGTCCTCTTCCTGCACCCTCTGACTACGCTTTCATCAGAACAGTGAGATGATCTCACAGGTACGTTTTGGAACAATCTCCGTTTTGCTTCCTTTCCAGTCTCAGAGAAGTGCTGTCATGACCATGGCTGCAGCCCCAGCTCCTCAACTCTGAAGGTGCTTTCACGCATGGGACCCCCTTAAGTGACAGCTGCCCGGGAAGTCCACAGAAAGGATGCGGGTGCTGACAAGCAAACAGCCAGCACAGGGGGCAGCCAGTCCTTTACCCGAGCCCCAGCGGCAGCAGGGTCGATCAGACTGGACCAATGTTTTCCGAGGCTCACCAGAAACAAGCTCTCTCACGCAGGTATGACCTTCCTGGGCGATGAACTGTGCGCATCGGCAGCCAGCTCTGCCAAGAGTTATGGCACATGACCCACCCACATGGGCAAACACACTGCTGGGGAACCGCTAAACCTCCAGGCGCCCCGCCCCGCATGACCTGGATGATTCACCTCTGTCTACGCCCACTTTTACTTCCTCGTGTGTGGTTAATAGAAAACCAAAAGGCTGGCTTTCTTCCAGCCAATCACCTGCTCTACACAACTACACGCGTTTTAAATTATAAGGCTTTGATAACTTCACAGAAAAAAGTCATAAGTCATTATCACCAATCCACAGAATCAATAAATTTCCAGCTAATCAGGCAAGAAATCTAAAATGAAGCTACATTAAAGTTTACAACATTCAACTATAGTTTAAAAATGCACCCATGCTTCAAAAATCACCATTCCCATTTTAGATGTCGAAATGCACATGAGGAAAACAGAAATGCACTCAAGTCTTTTTGCAGTCTTTACTCAGGAACTCCCACGTTTAAACTACAGCGGGTATGGAGGAGCTGGCTGCAGCAGGGAGAGAGAACAGCGGGCCCCCAGTCCGCCTGCATCTCGTGGGGGCAGAGAGTGTGCCTTTTACGAACAGGGACCTGGAGTGGGATGGAGGTGGCCTGGCCAGAGGCCAGTCAGAGAAAGTTCACCACGGGCCAGCTTGTCCCGGCGGGGACTAAAACGGCCAAATGCTGGCTCTGAGCTCAGGTGCCAGGAAGGGGAGATGCGTGAGCAGAGTTTGGTTGGCAAGCATTTGCTCCCACTGATGGGTGGGGTGAGCAGCTCAGCTTGCCACGCACAGAGGTGGATCTGGAGGGCCTGGGCTGGCCCCAGGTCCACGGGCACCAGGCCTCTTACTGAGCGCACATGGGAAGGCAGAGTTTTTGCAGCGAGAAAAGGCTGAGGGACTTTTCAGCCATCCTGTCCAGCAGGACACAGGGCTCAGGATTGTTCCCAGCACACAGACGTCAGGTCTGTATGCTCTGGACACATCCCAACAGGCTCTCAAGGTCAGCTGAGCTCTTGGGCCCTTGCGTTACATTTCTCCTCCTGCAGGAGTCCCCAGAAGGGCTTCGGCGTTTTGTACTAACCCCCGCATCATGCGCTCGCTCCTGTTTCCTACAACCGTGACACCACCACAGCAGCCCTGACACGCAGCACAGGACCACACGTTGTTTCTCAGTGAGCCAGGGAACTTCAGGGAGTCACAACAAGACGTGACTGGGATTCCCTGGAGGGCAGGCCAGGGTTGGAAAAGACAAATCTACCGAGAACCAGAGCGCTGAGTCTCTCTTGTGGGAAGGGGCAACACCGTGTCACCTGTCTAACCGCACTTCGCATCCTACAACGACTGTGGTGGCGACCAGCCCCACCAGACAGGCTGTGGAGACTTAACAGTGCTGATGTATAAAGACAGCGAGTTCCGTGGCCATGAGCCAAGAACTTACCTCACACCTCGAAAACATGCAGAATGACCTTCCCAGAAATGCCCTGCCACCACCAGTCCGCCTGGGAAACATCTGATGGTCACATTCAAGTTCTGACATGTCAACTATTATGCACAAAATTCATGTGAACATTATTTATTACAAAGTACATTAAAAAATTCAACAAATTATGCAATTTTATTGTTTCAAATAGTAAATTGGGTGAATTCTGTATCCCACACTCAAACATGGATTAACATGATTCAGGACTTCTATCTCTCATGTGCTTTCAAGTTTTATTTTAATACCCAACGCATAAAAGCCTAGTCTCCCTGAGAGAGTGGAGAATTATTTCCAACACTACACATGTTATTAACGAGATCACACTGTGACCGAAATGTCCTTTTTTAAAAGACCCACTGTTTTAATACATCCAAAGAAGATCTGTTTCTGTCCAATTCTCTTTTCCACCGTAGTTTAAATGCCTGTCCTAGAAACCACCTCTAGTTATAACTCAGGGCACTGTGAAAGCTGATATAATGTAGCCATTTTGAAAAGACCTGGAGGAAAAGAACAGAAACCCTGCATCCAGGTCCTACTGCTGCTCTAACAAATCGTCACACTGTTACTCAATTTTCGCTCTGAAGCTCAGATGTCTCGCTGGCTGAGCTCAAGGTTCGGGCAGGGCTGCTTCCTCGTGAGGCTCCAAGAGCCCTTCCCTTGTCCTTTCCAGCTTTTCCAGGCTCCTACGTCACCCATCCTCTGCTCACGTCATGGCTCCTTCTCTAACTGTGACCCTTCTCCCTCTCATCAGGGCCCTGTGATGACACTGGGCCACCGAATGACCCCAGACCATCTCCCCATCTCAAGACCCTTAAATCAGTCGTGTCTGCAAAGTCTCTTCTGCCCAGCCGGGTAGCACTCACAGGTTCTGGGGATCTAGTCATGGATATCTTTGGGGGCCATGATTCTGTTTCCACAAATGCTAAGTAAAACTACTTAGAGAATGTCTGTGGTAATTTTCTGTTGAACCTAAATTTAGGACCCAAATCTCGTATCACGTGACAACAACATTAATCACGAACATGGTCATGGAAATGTCAACCAACGTGATTTAAGAAAATACTGAGTGCTCAACACATTTCCAGAGCTCTGTGGTGTGGAGAACACAGAAATGTGCACACATGCACACACACACACACAGACACACATATAGACACTCTCCCCCAAAACCTAAAATCAAATATAGAGAGTTTCAACTTTAATACTCTAAATCTTATCTCATTATAATGAACAGCCTCTTGATTATATACATTTTTAGAGTACTGGCTTTCTTTTTCTTTTTAAAGTAACTATCCAGAAAAAATATATATATTTATTTCTCCAAAACTACAGAGATGGATTTCTTTCAAAAACACTTTTCTCGATTCTATTATCTCATACGAACTAAACAGATATATTAAAGGAAAAAGAACCATTTAAGTTCATGCGGGGGGGTTGCCTATGATTTCACCAAGCACAATTTACTCTTGGCCAGTTAGAGATCAGCGATACCAAAACTTGGGGAAAAGGAAAAACATAAACTTGCACTCAGGACCAGGCCATATATTATGGGTTTTCTCAATCAAATTGTTGGCTTGCAGCTTTTCCTACACATTCTCGATATTGGTTTCTTACAAAAGCTGAAGTTCAAGGATGCTGGAAAGTCTGCCAGTATCTGAAAACTCTACAAAGCACAGGCAAAGCAGAAATCATGAACGATGAAACTGCTGTGAGACAATACAGGAGATCTCAGCATTGAGATCACTGCACACCTCAAGCATCTAGAAACGGTGAGAACAGGGGACACCTAGCGTGTGTGTGCACACGTGGTGTGTATCTGCGCACGTGGTGTGTGTCTGCGCATGTGCGTGCACAGGGGGTTCAGTTCTCTCTTCCTGCAGGAGACGCACCCAGTGCTGACGTTACCTGAGAAGCACAACCTCATTGCTTCAGTGTAGAGGGTGGTCACTACAGTGTCATCAGCCACCAGGACTTAAACATGGAACATTTTACATCCAAGTGAAGTCTGCGCCTTAAAATGGGGACCTGGGGCAGCATGACGGAATTTCTACAACTGTCTCATCTCAACTACTAGCTTTGGGGGAATCTTAGGAAATCATAAGCCAAACCTATTAATTTCGCCAGATTCCAGTATTTCCTGAAACATTCTTTCAATTTGCCACTCAGGATTTCCTGCCAAATCTAGTAAAGTCTAAATTCCTCATCACTACGGATGACAAGATCGATGGACTCCCTGCCCTTAGCACTGGCCTACACACAAACTGTTATTTACACAAGACTGTGCTTGAGGCCAATTCTCAACAGAAACAAGAAACCATAAAATTTCATTATCCCCATTTTGGATTTGAATATGAAGGTTGTTACCAACTCAGGTCCCTAATTTAGACCACAGAACAAATGTTTCTAAAGCATGGCACGTGTTTAACTTCATGCTGTCCACATGTTTTCAATATTAACGGCCTCAAAACTACTGACGTCATAACTCACCATACTTGCAGGTTATTTAACCACAAAATAATGATGATTATGCGATAAAAATGCCTTCTTAGGGATTCTATCACACCACAACGATCCAAACTAATAAGGCAGGAAGTTTAGACTTATACATATACAGCCAGCAAAGGGACGTCCTCCACCAAACAAAGTAAGAAAAGCCTATAGGAGAGCCACTGAAGAACTGGAACAAAATATTACAAAATGGCTTGCGGTCTCCCCAGCCACAGGCATCACGGCCTCCTGCTAAGAAGGCACCATTTCCACGCACTTGCCTTTCCGGCCCATCTCAAAGGTCCCCACGTGTGAGACCTTCTGGCAGCCCACGGAAAGTTAATCACTCCACCTCCAGTATCCACAACTCTTCAGGTACCGCCTGGCTCCACGCTGCAGTGCCATGTTGGACGCGGCCATCTTCCTAAATGGGATCCTGCAGGTGCCGAGGTGTCTGGCACTGAGGAGCATCAATAAGTGCTGAGTGAACATACGTAAAGCGGCCAGTCCACGCTCTTCACCATGTTTTCAGATCTCCAAGTTGTGTCTTCAGAATGAACTCTGTGTAATGTGGAAGGAAGGAAGGAAAGGCCATGACAGACCCACCCTCCTGCAGCCTGGCAAGAACTGCTTGTCAGCTCACAAGCTCCATCACTGGGCAGAGCACCCTTGGGACCTGCGGGCTCCATCCGCACCTCAGGAGACGGCCCCACCTCCAGCACCGTTAAACAAGGACCGCTGCACCGCCCACCATACTTCTCCTCTGGGGATTTAAACCCTCGCGAATATGGAAGCACGTCCCACCACTCAAGGACTCCTTGCCAACGAAATAACGAAGCCCCACTCCGCTCCTAAAAAGGAACATCCCTGTGACCTGAACCCGGCTGCCCTAGAGCTGGGGAGAAGTGTGCGGGCACACCTGTGGGATGGCCAACCTGGTGCCGAAGGCTGCTAGAGCCTCACCACGGGCGGCAGACTGTAGTCGGAGGAGGCTGCCTGGCAGTTCCCTGACCGGCGACCAGACCCGCTGACACGAACGACCCCACTGCCTCGCTCCTGTAGCCGGGGCCACGCAGAACCACTCCGCTTCTGCACCGGAGGTGACAACTCATGGCAGAACATGTGATGAGCCCGTCACCATCGCCAGGGCGGAGCACAGAGCAGGCCATACAATGTCCTGCTCATTGCACTGGGCTGTCCAAGGGAAGGGCACTGGGTCTGTCGTCAGGGCTTCTAAAGGTCCAAAGCATCCTCACTCCGGTCCCTCCCAGGGGCCTGAGAGGCCCTGTCAGTGGTCCTGCACAACCCTGGGTATGGGAAGGCCTCCCCTCTGACCTGCCAGACCGGTGCCCCGAGGAAGCAGTTAATCACTCACTGGCGTGCTGGGACACGCTCGAGAGCCAGCAGTCTACGAGCGTGTGCTCTGGGGGCTGATGCCATCAGGCTTCGGTTCAGACGTGAAGATGACGCTGTACAACCGCACTCCTTTGGTGTCACAGAAGAAGGGCTCCACTTCCACGCACACCACTACAGCTGCTGTCCTCACTAGCAAAGGCTCAGGGACCTGCTCCCCGACAAGAATCACAACTTATAACCCACAGAATGGGTAAGGGGAAAGATCTAAAATTCGATGCTTAGCATTCTACAAGTTCCAACAAAGCCAAAATGGGTTTACTGAGCCGTCTGTGCCACTATCCCTGAGATCCATGAGTCTCTCGCAACGGTCCCATGGGCCAGGGGTCCAGGGCAGGATGCTGGGCTCACAGCTGACGGCCGATTTGAAAGCATAAGGAGAGGGGGTGCAGCCTAGCTGCAGAGCGGGGTCTCGCCCAGACCACCACCGGGTAGCTGCTGGTGTGTGCACCACAAACAGCAGGCGGGCTGCTGCACTGTTTGCAGCTGCCCCTCACTGCAGGACAAACGGGAAATGTGGGCTCAGAGGAACCGGGCATTCCCTGGGGGCTTGGCGGGTACCCAGCTCAAGCTCATGTGAAAGTGGCAAACATTTCCCAAATATAAAACTGGCAGAAGTGCTGATGTGCAGGTGTCGCGGGACCGAGGTCCCAGGAATGGCAGTTTTCCCTTCTACCCACAATGTCCAGCACTAGGTTTCACTTACTTGGAGAAGCCCTTTGCCAGAATTCCTGAGGCTGTTCCACTTTCCCATCTCAGGCTGATGGGACCTGCCATCTTGTTTGTCCCATACACCCTTTCTCATGGAGGCCAGGCCGCCCGGGCCCCCTGCCCAGAGCCTCTCTCCCCACCAGTCCCTAATCCTCCCTCCCTCCAGGAAGCCCATTTGGATTTCGTAAAAGAACAGCTGAGCATTTCCTTTCACCTCGCTGGCTCTGGACAGAAAAACATTTTATGCTTCCTGTTTAACTTAAGTCTTTTTTTTAAAAAAACTAGAGAACAAAAAGTATAGCTCACACGAGCAGGGGCTGTTTCTTCTTCATGAATGGATCCCTGTCTCCGGCCAACTGGCACTCAACAAGCATTGCCTGAATTAATATCATTAATATTACGTCCAGAAGTTGAAATACAGACACCCCTATTCCTTCACAAACACCCTGGGTCCCCAGGCAGGTGGCCCATGTGAGTAGAATTTGTACTGGAGCCATTTTAAACTGGCCTCCAAATGAATCTTTTAATTTCCAGACTTTTCAGACATACCTTTTGTTTTGTTTTGTTTTCATTATTTTGATTCTTTAAGGCATTATAGCAGCTATAACCAAGGATAAATCCATTTGCCCAATTTTATACAAGTAAAATGTCAAAGAAGATGCAAAATGATATGGAAAGGTATTTTTCGAATCCAATACCTTGGATTTAGCTTGGGTTTAAATGGGAACATGAAGAAGGGAAGAAGTTCTGCAAGGGTGCGGGCACACTTCAGCAATCAGGGAACCTGAAACACTTCAAGGACAAAGTCAGGTATGAGGAAAGACTTCAAGGCAAACTTTTTCTTTGAATTTTGATTTCAAAAGAGCAGACATACCCAAAATATGAACTCTCCCATCCATACCTCTTGTCCCTTGAAAAGACTTGAGACAGTGACGTCATGGGTTGGCCCTCCTCACAGTTGCATCCTTAAAGCCTAATTCAGTCACACCAGCATCCTGCAGAGAGATCACCATCCATCCCCAACAGAAAGGACCACGTTTACACGGACCTGCCCGCTACTTTAAGCACAGGAGAAACTAGAAAGGGAACAGATGTTACTCACCCGCAGAGCCGAGCTCCGTCAGTCAGAAAGGGCCGGCTTCCATGTGAGACGAGCAGTTTGATTATTGAAAGAGCTTGTTACTTGCTGGTTTAAAGCTTAAATCAGAATTTCAAGTGACAATATGGCCCTTCCTAATAGATGTGCACTGAGTTGGTTGCAAGAGCGCTGATTTAGCCACACACTCCCCCTGGTCTTGCTAAATGGACGTTCCCACACCTGTGAGCTGGGTGGGCCGGCACGGGCACATCTGTGGCCTAGAACACCGGTCCCCAAGGGCCAGTGCTCCTATGAGAATCTAATACCTGATGATCTGAGGTAGAGCTGAGGCAGTGATGCTGGCGCTGCGGAGCAGCTACAGACACAGATGAAGCTCTGCTCGCTTGCCCGCCACTCACCACCTGCTGTGCAGCCCCGTTCCTAACAGGCGTGGATGGTGTCAGTCCACACCCGGGGGTTGGGGACCCCTGGCCTAGAAGCTCAAAGGCAGAGAGTTGTGCGCTTACCAGCTCGTCCAGGAAAGAACAGGACCTTGCTTTATATAGGAAAGGGCTATAAAAATTTATAACAAATGAGCAAGGGTGACAGTGAATTAAATTAGCGCCTCTCAGGCCCCTACCACTCAAGGACCCAGGGCAGTGAGGGCAGGGCGCCGGGGCCTCTCAAACCCACTGCAGGCTAGGACTGACACGCAGGGGGTCCGTGGATTCCCGGACGCTAAGAGAAAACACACCATCCACCACTTCACAGGTCAGCTCCTGCTGAGCTGGGAATGCACACTCAGTTCTGGACACCTCTGCCTGGTCAGGGCGCGTCTCACTGGGGCACCTGCTGGGAAACCCACGGGAAATTCTAGCACACCGAACAAGTAGGGTCGTGAAATGATTCACGAGGCAGGGGTTGGGGAGGTGGGGTACTGTCTGTCCCTCAGATTGCCCACAAGCTCCCAGCGCTTACACCTGCACAATTTTGCCTCAAGGAAAAGAAGCTACATCAGGCAAAAAGCATCAGTGGGAATATGTGACACCCTCATTCACCGCTTCTCCTGGCACAACCCCCAAGCCAGCCAGTGCAGGAACTGTGACCCTGTCCTGCATGACAGGGCTAGAGAAAGGACCGACTTCTATAACATCTGCGCATTCCACCCACGTGGAGGTCATTCACCACTAAGAGATGAAAATCGATCGAAAGGCAGAACTTCCCTCAGCCTCGGCACCCACACTTACAAAACGCCAGAACCAACAGATAAAATAATGTGGCATTTTTCCCCTATAAATAGCAGGCATGTGCTGGCATCCGGGTTGAGAGTGAACGCCTGGAATGCACCACCAGACCCAGGAGCGGCTGGCTCAGCTGCGGGAATGCCAGCCAGCTGACGAATCCGCCCGGGAGGAAAGTCAAGCACCTAAATCTGGTTCCCCGGGCTTCATGTTCTCGGCCAGGCTGGAGCGGGCGAGCAACGGTATCAGCTTCCATCCTGGGTAGCCGACTCCTCCCCACTTCTACTGTCACTGCTTCTAACTAAGGATCACTGAAGTGGGAACCTAACAGCAGGTAATTAGAGCAACTGCTACTGAATGACAATGGCACAGGTCCTA